TTTTTATTGGTCAATCATCATATACATATTAACCAACTTTTGGTTTCGTAGTTTATGCATTTTTCCACATGCATGTGCCAAAAAAACTAACTATTTCCATAATCCTATGATTTTATATCTAGCCATCAACTCGAGAAGCAAACGCTGTTGTAGTTCATCCATCCAATGGCCTTATATCCATTAACCTATCAGATATGATGACAATTCACCGTATTGCTGATACCGGCCCTGGTGCCTCCGGTTCTGGTGGAACGACATCTGGCGGTTCGGGGAGCACCGGTGTAGGAGCTCAAAGCAGTGGCCCTGCATTATCCGCAGCATCAAGCGCCGCAGCTCTCATTGCTGCGGCTGCGGCCTCGTCAATGAATGGGGCAACTCCGAGCGAAATAAGTGGTGCTTCATGTATTCTCGAAGAGCTAGTTCGTATGGGACGGCGTACTGACTCAGGGGAGTCTTCGGTTCGACATCAGAAGCGACGTCGAGGACAAACGACTATCATCCAAACAGGAAGAACGTCTAGGAAATACGGTGCCTATCATTTATTTTTTTGAGCCTAAACTGAGAAGCCTGGTTGTATTTAGATAGGGTTAAATGGACGGTCTCAAATATCCTTGTTGTAAACAGACCTGATGATTATGCCTTATTTTATGAGCCATATAATTTTATAGATGGTTTGACCTTATTTTTGCAATTTGGCCGTACTGTCTGGAAGGCCTAGACGAGCAGGCCTTATCCGGAGCCCATAGTATCCATGATAATGTCCTGAGTCCTACGTGGATTTGTTTATATTCCCAGACGTTTCGCCTTCATCGTCAATCGGCCTTATCATTCTTTGCGCCACACCACAACTAGTCCAAGAGACGAGTGAAGTCGATCCTTTGACCAATTGTCTGCTAAACAGGTGTGACATCTCCCCTGTCCTAGTGCATTCACCGTCTATATCCCTTCACTATCACAATTTCTTACTTGCTTATATAAATCTAGTTCAGGCGTGCTCTTTTGAGCAGATTTATTGATCCTTCTCACACTACTCGTTGGTTCCCTTATCGTTCCCACTATATTAGAAGTATCAGTCCAAGTTTGCCCTTTTTGTTGGCAATCCTTTTCATCAAGATCATATCAGTCTCCCGGATTTATGCTTGCACCTCTTACTTATCTCTATAACATCTTTTCCATTGCAAACTTTTATGTGCGCTTATATTCTCATCCATATTTGCCCTACGCTTGCTAGATATGCTCATTATGCGAATCGGATCCACATTGAAAATGATAAATTTTAATGTGATCAGAGTATAAAGTCGTCGCTACTTTGCCAAATCCTATTTTACCCTGTATCCATATAACATGCTCACAATGACTGTTGTCCTTACATTATAATTCTGAAACCATTATACAACGTCCATCGTATTTTCTACTATTGATTTTCCGCGTGCCTCCTCAATGTTCCTAAGCTACGTTATAGCTTAAGTTGTAATTGATAGTATTTACTTAATGCCTACTTCTTTCACAGCATTTATGGTTTACAAACAGGTTGCGCAGGCTGTCTTATAGTTCACAAATTAACAGCTATAATAGATTTATTAAAAAATGGAGTACTTTTAGTGGCCCACTCTGTTCTTACATATTCACTCTGCAGAAATATGCACTTCTGCGTACATTTCAATATTTATTATTCTTTTTTTTCATACTTGTATATACTCTAATCGGGCATATTTTTGCTATAAAGTCGCACCAATGCGTGGGCGCGGTTTCTTCCCCCGATCTGGTGGTAGTAGTGGTGGCGGTGGGGGCACTGGCTCACTGACTGGATCTTCTGCCCTCGTATCTGTGTCCGGGTCTTCAGGCAGTCTTCTGGGCCCAGTCTGTTCGGTCAGTTCTGCGAGTGGTCCAGGTGGTACCGGTGGAAATTCAGGTAGTTTACCAAGTGGGCTCGGGAGTAACTTGAATCTTGGAATAGGTCTGACCGGGTCAGCAAGTTGCCTTGTTTCAACAGTACCTGGCTCCGCCGCCTCTGGTCGACCTGGAGTTGTAGATGTATTCCGTTCGCGAGCTCCCAATACCAGCCGGCCACCCAGCATGCATGTGGATGATTTCAGCAAACTCGAAGATGAGGCTGCTTCTGGCTTGGTAGAGGTCAGTCTAGCCAACTCCATTCAGTTGCTTAGTCTTTAATTTGCTTTTTGTTTTTTTTTACATTTATTTAGTCTTCGAATCTTTATTTGGATTAAACTATTATTTTTTGCGGAACAGAGAAGTCGTGTGCATCTATTGAGCCCTGACCTTAAATTTAGTAATTGTCACCACGGGCCGCTATGATGGTGCCTAGCCTAATAAAATAAGAAGGCTTCTACATTTTATGAATTATATTTATTTTCTGCGACCATACTCGAGGCCACAACATCTTGGTCTTCACATCTTATATTTATTTTCATCTTATAAAAGTCCTTTCTTATCTAATTTGAGCCGCAATCTCGACTTCTTAGGGCTGGATTCGAAGCTCGGTCTTATGCGTCTTCTGACAAAATAATACAATCTGGTCGCATTGCTCAGTTGTCCTACCTAACCACAATGTTGGTTTAAATAAGTCTGTTTACCCATAATATTAATTTCTGCTCTGGCAGTTGGCCGGATGAAAAAGTTTCAATTCAATTCTCGAAAAAACTTGTCCCGAATCTGTTTTGGAGGGCTGACGAGACATATTCTAGGTAGAAATTGCCATCCACCTTTAATTAGAAAAGCCTTTTTAGTGACAAAATTAAGTTGAGAGCGGTGGTATTTAGCTATTTATAACTCAGTTCATATTTCACCCAAACTACATCAGTTCATTATTTATTTTTTTAGAAAAATCTACTTTTCTTTTTTAGAACGCTATCGAATTTCTCCTTAAACCTATTTTGTTTATCTCCGGGTTTTAGTCATAATTATTCCGTTTAAATTCTCGGCAATATAATCGTGTAATCTCCTATTCTCGTAATTTAACTTTACGCACTAGTAGTTGTTTGACCTTGTTTTCGCAACTTGGTCATAATGCTAGGAAGACTGATAGAAACGCACCTTGTCCTG